GGTAATGGCAGTGAAACAGCATGCAGGTCTGGAAATGAACTCACCACATGACTCAATTTTCAGCCCCAAACAGACAAGTCCATAAGGGGACAATAACCCTGGGGGGGTACGCACTCCTTAGAATAATCAACCAGTTTAGATACAGAAAGCCACATTTACCCAAGGAGAAAGTTTAGAAGGGCTAAGAAAGAAGCAGCACTGGAAATATGAGACATAGGGAGTTAGTAGGATTAGGATAAGTGATATTACATTATGAGGACTGGAATCCATGAAATGAAACAAATTAATATGGACTGTTGAATGGTAAATTGATCTGCTCTGTAAACCCTCACCCAATTCACAATCTAAAAATATGTTTATTTTTAGATTGTGTATAGACCTAGATGTAAGATATGTCGAGAAACAACAGGTTCATACTTTGACATTTTGGTTTAATGAATGTCTATGATTCTGTAGCAATATTTATTGCCCTTCCTCATATATGAGACGCTTCCAGAGCTAACATAATTTCAATTGAACTCATACCAGATCTTTTATCCACTGTATTTCTGTTTCTCCTACAAATCTGAGGGTCACAACAGAAAGTAAGGAAGAGAGAAAACAAACCTGGAGTTGCTTATTCAACCAGAAATTGGATGTTCCTTGCTTGACCTTGCTACTGCTTCTCCATCACCCCTCTCTCCACACCATCTCCATCCTCCAGGGAGAACCCCAACTCCTGGCATGTGTCCTGCCTGAGGTCCTAGTTTTCCTTCCTGTCCCACTGAGAAATGGGAACAGCAGAGACGGTTATGAGGATCCCAGAGTATGAGAAACTATTTCATTGTTGTTGGAATCAGATGATAACAGAGAATCTTTAAAAGATTATAAAAATTTAGGAGATGGATCATATAAGGTCTAAGGGCTGGTCAGCAGAATTCCTTAAAAAATGTCCATCCTCTCTGGTGATATGTTTCACAGGCCAAACAACCAATTATAGCCCATCAGGAGTATATGTTTGGGGGGGCGGGGTGAGGTAGGGGGACGGTAGGGCAGTGTTAGGAGGTTGGTTCAGCCAGGGCAGCTGTAATAAAAATGTTTAAAGCATAAACATCAAGGGGTACTGGAAAGAAATTTTCTTTAATGCTGTTTCATTTCTTTGGGAAGTTTAATTATCTACTTCTTGAAAAAGAAGCAAGTGATTTACAGGAAAATACTTGGCCTGAATTGCTCAGAATTACTTAGATAATATAGCCCAATGTTTTTATTAAGGCTTTTTCCTTTTTCAAAGGAATGTTTCCCAATAAAATGTATTATCAGTCACTGACCTCAAATGGTCTAACACAGCCTCGGGCTTAGTTGGGTCAGGCTAGGCCAAGCCATATGTTTGGTTTTATTAATATATCTGTCCTAAAGCGTGAAATCCCTCAACTGTGTGACCCCACAAAGGAGCGGCAAACTGCTTCCCATGCTTTTCTTCAAAATTTTGACAAGAACGGGCTGTGCTTTTCATTATTAACCTTTCCGTGTTCTCTATCTGCCTCCTGGAGAAGTTACATACCCCAAGTTTGAACCCCTCTTGTTTAATATAAGTATAGATAAGCTTGTTACTGAACATTTATAAAGAATATTATGTAACGACGTTTTCCCTTCCATTCTAATCTCAAAACATCTATTATTCAATCCGTTCTAAGACTAGACTCCAGAACTATAAATATCCTTACTCAATTTGCCTCGGGTTAAAAAAAGAAAAAGACTCTACCAGGTAGCACCGCCTAGAATTGCTGCATAAGAAAAATCACATTCAAGAAGCATTTTCAGTTTTCACCTTCCTGCTCGCAACCATCAGAACCACGACACAAATAAAAGCTGAAGCTGAGAAACAGCCTACATAAAATGTTTTTAAACTGTCATTGTGGCTGTCAACAGCATAAAGAAAACCAGCTAATCACAAACTATGCTTCAGATAAATCTCAAGTGAGAAGTATTTTCCCAAACCAAGCAACCTCCACTTATATGATTACTTTATTCTTTAATAAGATTGTAATTTCAAATTTTTATGACAATAAGAATAAAAATGCTCAACAGAAAGTGTGCTTCTCTCTTACATTCTAAGCGTCATGCTCTGATAACAGTGGCCACATGTGTTTCTTCTTCAGAAACAAAATATTTCTGGGCTCAATTTTTCTAACAGGAATGACAGTGTTTGGGCAAAATGGATAAATCCTTTTTTCTTCCAGTACTGACAGTCAGGAAGTCGAACCTGTCAAGAACCAAAAAACATTGGAGCTACCAAACTTAGAAACGGGGAAGAGTCACTAAACTAGATAACCATGAACTGCGCTCTCAATCAGGTCTAGATATGTATCTTAACCTTTTATTTTTGATGTTCCTCCACTGGTCATTTCTTATCTTGTGGTGAATTCCAATCTCTGGTTTTTGTACCAATATGAATTCTCAGCTTGGAATTCTATGCTAAGGTGACAGCAGTGAAGGAAAGAAAATCTCTGTACTCAGGGAGCTTACACTCTAGTGGGAGAAAAAGGGCAACAAGCAAAGTAGCCAGGATTATCTGACTTTACGAAGCAGCTGATAGCTCAGGTGTGACCTGTGAAATAGCAATATCATATAAGTCAACCCACATATTAAATAGGAAAGAATATTATGTATTTTTAAATAAAGCAGAGGAGGGTAACAGGTGGATGAGGGAGTGGAGACAGGGTTACAAGTGAAAAATGGGCAACCAGTATCCACGATGAATTTGTGAAATTTTTCCTACTATTTCATTAATTATTTTATGAAGTTTTGGTTTTTTTAATGTAAGATGACATGAAAGCTACTGAAAACTAAAACCAGTCATTGAAACATATAAATTACAAGGTATTTATGTCAAGCAGGAATAAAAGTTACAGATGAATGGAACACAATTTTCATGATGACCTATGAAATTAGATTTAAAAACATGGTGTGATATGCAAAAATGAATTAAGTATATCCTAGGACATTAACTTCAAAAAGAAAAAATAAAGTACATTTTGATGAGCTTAGTATAAATACATTCTACACTACATTTAAAAATATTTATTCTCAATCGCTGAAGACAAAATGGGTGCATAAGCAAATGTGGTGAAGAAAGCTGATGGTGCCCAGCTATCAAAAGATATAGCACCTGAGGTCTTAAAGGATTGAAGATAAACAAGCAGCCATCTAGCTGAGAAGCAAGAAAGCCCACATGGAAGAAGCACACGAACCTTTGTGATCATGACGTGTCTATAGGATTAGGTATCTGGCATCAAAGACCCAAACAAAACAAACAAAAAAAATCTTATCAATGGGAATGAGGGGGAGGGCAGAGTGGAGACCCAAAGCCCATCAGTAGTCAATTGCACACCCCCTGTCAGAAGGGCCACAAGGAAGAGATGAGCCACTCAGGGTGTAGTATAGAACTGACAAAACTGACAAAACAACCTTCCACTAGTTCTTAAACGCTTCCTCCCCCCACCCCACCCTGCCACAACTGGACCCCAATTCTATCTTACAAATCTGGCTAGACCAGAACATGTATACTGGTACAGATAAGAGCTCACAACACAGGAAGTCCAGAACAGATAACACCCCCAGGGCCAATAAGCGGAGGGTAAGGGGCAACCAATTACAATAATCAACATATGGCCCCCTTCCCAAGGGGACGGACAGCAGAAAAGTGGGTGAAAGGAGACAGTGGTTGGTGTAAGACATGGAAAAAAAAAGAATAATTTATAAATTTTCAAGGGGACATGGGAGAGGGAAGGTGATGGAGAGAGGAAAAATGAAAAATGAGGAGCTGATACCAAGGGCTCAAATAGAAAGAAAATGTTTTTTAAAAGATGATGACAACATATGTACAGATTTGTTTGACACAATGGATATATATATGAATTTATTCTCAAAGTGCAAACAACTCTCATTGTTGAAATACCACAGTAACTTCTTTCCATCTGACATAAGGTTTGTCAATTATTTAAATTGTCTTGTTAACTACAAAAATGTATATTGTTGGGGTGAGATATAAGAATTACTTATAAAATACTTATAAAACGACTTAGAGATTTTAAAGATAAATTGTACTAATATATGATTTAACCATTAATATAACCATATGACAACTTTGTAAATCAGTTCCACAAAGCTGAACATGGAATCAGTCTAAAAGGGGATTTATTGGCTCAAAAATCTGAGGACTTATGTATACCTCTTTCCTAACTAGGCTAGTGCCTTGTTGATATAAGAGTTTTCTTGATATTAAGCTCCTTCTTATACATGTATGAGTGTCACTGAATTAGTTTCTCTAGACAACCCTGCCTAACACAGTAAGTCTCTTTCAAAAATGTGAATAGACAACTAAATGTCCTATGATTAAACGACACTTACCTAAAAGTATGAAATTAGATTCGGTGATTAACAAAAGGCTATTCCAAATCTAATGTTCTATGATTCCAAACCTAAAGCCCTAAGTATACAACTGATTATTCTCAAAAGTATACTGTACCTACAGAAGAACCCTAATATCCTAATCCTGACAGGAATCTACTCCCTGTCAAAACACAATGAGTATCAGGAAATGTTTGGAATTACACATCCTCTGAATCATTAAGTAGTAAGCATTAAGTGTTAACTTTTTTCTTTCTTTGGTTGTTAAGAAAGATGCTTTAAGACCCAAAGTATGATTTCCAATATTTACTGGCATTCTTAGGAGACAGGCTATATATATTCTTATGCAAAACAGTGGAGTAACTCTTACTCCACCTTCCATTCTTAAATGTGTTACAACTATCCTACTTCAAACACATATGCATTTCCTGTATTTGCTATTCTTCATAACTTGTAGTTGACGGAATAGTTCTAAATTTAGTACTAAATTGGTGATATTAGTAGTTGTAATATAACATAGTAACAAAACAAAGCTTTACAGAAGAATAGAAAAGTGGATTCAATTAGTATCTGGAAAAGTGAGTGAAGCTCAAAGGAAAAGAAAAACTTACTGATTTAATATGACATCGAGAATGAATGATGTTCCAAAGGCATCAACCTGGAAGGTTGCTTGGTCAACGTGAGTCAACTGTAATGTCAAAAAGATAAAAGATATTTACTATGCAGCCAAAGAAGTCAGATGGTAAGTATTTCATATGACCATTCTAAAAGGTTTACAAAATCATAAATGAGAAAATGAATTCAGCATGGATAATAAATGAAAACATAGAAAGGTGAAATTTGCACCAACTTAGAAGTCAAACATTCACTTATCAGAAATAAACTGCTACCTAATCAAGAAAGACAAGTGTCCCAATCTTTCTGGCTTATCTCAAGTTGTTACACATGTCATTTCTGAGAAGACACAAATCAATCAGCTCACACTAAATTAAATAAATTTCCCCTGTAAATTTTACTATGCCATCCCAGGAACTCAAAACCAAAAAATACAGTGTTCTCAGTAGCCGTCATACTAGCATCTTGAATAAAAGATGCATATTAAGTGATAAGAAAGGAGGAAGAAATTCTGTGTATTCATTTCAATTCCTAGACATTAACAGTGGTTCTATCTAAGCAACTGGACTAGAAATTATTTGAACATTTTTGTTAACATGTATCTGTAGAAATTACATGTAATTTCTAAAATAAATGTGTAATTCTTAAAAGGAGGAGGAGAAAACAGCAAACACTATGTTAGGATGACAACAATCTAAGGAACAACTGTATTTAGATAGCACACATGGCAGATGGTGCTCCCTGGAAACCAGTGCACCACAGGAAAGAACATCCAAGATTCGGTGAGACATAAAGAACACCTCGGTCATCCCTAAGCTATGGTACTAGGTGAAAGTGAGAGTTGGTCTCTTATTGTTTAACAGTAAAAAAGCTTTTTTGAAACCGTTGTAATAAATAAGGGCAAAAGAGTGCTGTACCTTAGTTGCTAGCACATTCTAATCCTCATAAAACTCCAAGAAGAGCTATCTGAATATCTGTACGCCTTATTAAACATTCAGCTTTAACTCTTTACAACTACTACTACCATCAGGTTAGTACTATATTTAGAACTATTACATCAACTACTTACATGTTATAAAGAATAGCAAATACAGGAAGTGCATATAGTTTGAAGTAGGATAGTTGTAACTGATTTAAGAATGGAAGATGGGGAGTTAGAGTTACTCCATGGGTCTCTTCAATTAACACCCATACAACCAAACTCTGGCTTCATTTTTATTCTATGATAGGTCTTGGAGAGACAGCTTTTCTCCATTTTTTAATCTGCCACAGTTTATATTTCCTTGCTCTTTTTAAAACTGTCTCCATACCAAAATCTATCTGTAAAATCCAGATTTTCAACTGTACCAATTCTAAAACTTCTCTATCAGGATTTCAAGATCCCGCACAATCAGCTCCCAAACACCAGGCATGATGGCACACAAGCCCTCAAGAATTCATCCACACATCATCTATGTGCACAATGATCTCTTCCACTTCTCAATTCAGCAAACCATGTTCAGTGTGACTTCTTTTAATTTGGGGTCATCACCTGAAAAAAGTCAAGCCTTAGGTGCATTATTGAAGGATTCTATGAGCAAAATGTTGAACAATTCATGAAGCATAAAAAGAAAATAAAAGGACTGCACAGAGTCACTGTACTAAAAACACAGTCCATGGTCAATTATTTCAAGAGGTAGCAAGGAAGAAGCTCAAGCATCATTGAGGGACTACTGAAAAGCAAGGCTGACAGTATTGACAGAAGACCAACTGACATGTTTCTGCAAATGGATGCAATGCTGGAAGTACTCACCAGTCTGTGGTGAGAAATTTGGAAGACAGCTACCTTGCCAACTGACTGGAAGATAGCCATCTCCACTCCCATTCCAAATAAAAGTGATATAACAGAATGCAAACATTTTCAAAGAATATCATTAATATCACACACCAGTAGGATTTTTGAAAAGATAATTTTTAATGGATGTTGTAATACATCAAAAGTGATCTGCTAGAAATCCAAAGCAGATTCAGAAGAGGACATGGAGAGGAGGCTATCATTACTGATGTCCGACAGGCCTAGACTGGAAGCAGAGACAACCAGAAAGATTTTTATTTGTTTCTTATTAAGAATGCAATTTGACTGTGGATGATAACAAACTAAAGATAAAATATTGAATGATGCAGGAAGCATCAAAAGAAGATGGAAAGAATACAGAGTCACTGTACTAAAAAGAACTAGTCGACATTCCACCACTTGAGAAGGAAGCATATGAGCGAGAACCAATGAAGCTGAAGGAAGAAGTTCAAGCTGCACTGAACGCATTCGCCAAAAACAAGGCTCCAGGAATTAATGGAAGGCCCATTTAAATGTCTCAACAAGTTGATGAAGCACTGAAAGCACTTGTCTATGCCAGGAAATTTGGAAGACGGTTACTTGGCCAACAGACTAGAAGAGATCCTTATTTGTACTAATTCCAAAGATAGGCGACCCAACAGAATGTTCAAACTATAGAGCAACATCACTGATATCACATCCAAGTAAAATTTTGCTGAAGAACATCCAACAACGGTTTCAACAGTACACTGACAGGGAGCTTCCAGAGGTTCAGACTGGTTTCAGAAGAGAATGTGGGACAAGGCATATCATTACTGATGTTAGGTAGATCACGGCTGAAAGCAGAGAATGTCAGAAAGATATTTATTTGAGATATTGACTATGCCAGGGCATTCAATTGTGTGGATCATAACAAACTATGGATAGCTGAGAATGGACATTCCAAAAGACTTTATTATACACCTGTGCAGAACTACATGAATCAAAAGGCATTGTGCAAACAGAACAAGGGAAACATGCATCGTTTAAAATCAGAAAAGGTGTGTGTCAAGGCTGTATTCTCTCACCACACTTATTCAATCTGTGTGCTGAGCAATCACCCGAGAACCTGCATTCTGTGAATGTGGCAGCAGGGTTGGAGGCTGGCTTATAACAATCTGCAACCTGCTGATGAAGATCGAGGATTTCAGCCTTCAATGTGGATTACAACTCAACCGGACCAATAGATAACATTGTGATAAATGGAGAAATGGGGGAAGTTTCGAAGGATTTTGTCTTGATTTGATCTACAATCAATGCTTATAGAAGCAGCAATCAAGAGATCAAAAGACGAGTTTCATTAGGTAAGTCTGCTGCACCTGACCTCTTTGGAAAGCCAACAGGCTACTTCAGGACTAAGGTGCGCCTGGCCCAAGCCATGGTATTTCAATGATCTCAGATGCACGTGAAAGATGGACACTAAGGAAGACCAAAAAAGAATGGAAGCATTTGAATTACCGTGTTGGAGAAGAATATTGAAAATATACGGCCGGCTAAAAGGTCAAATAAATCTGTCTTGAAAGAAATGCTGCCTGAGTGCTCCTTAGAGGCAAGGGCAGTGAGACTTCAGATTACTACATATTTTGGACACGTTGTCAGGACTGACACGCTGGCTGCAATAGAAGCATAGAAACAATTGTGAGCATGGCACAGGACTGGGCTGTGTTGCATTCTGTTGTGCTGAGGGGAGGAACAAACTGGACAGCACCTAACAACAACAACAACAAGGGAAACATTCCTAGGTTAAATCTTGGCTGTGCCAGGATTCTCAGTGGTTCGGCAGCAAAGACCTAGTAATTTCCCAGGATGCTACCTAACACAATACAATCACCTCCATAATTGGATCTGCTAAGAGCAGACCATCCATTGTAAGGAAATTAAGGTGTGATGAAACACCCCTACCTTGATCACAACCCTGATACATTCAATGAAAAATACATTTTCTCTAGAGTATGACCTGCTTCCAATGTAAGTGAACACTGTGGAAAAGTTTGCTAATTTTGGATCCTTGTACCTGGCTCATAAACCTCCAGCTCTTTGGTCTTGGCAACACCTTGTTATATTGCCTGCAAACCCTGGAAGTCGTCAGTGGCCTGCCATCTAACCTGTCTGCCTTGGATTCATTTACCTGTCCAGACACAACTCTGACCAGCTCACCTTGGATTCATTCACCTCTATATCCACTATGGTGCCTGTCGTCTTCCTGCCAATCTTGAGTTCATCAACCTCTGCAGCTACAAGAGTCAGAAGAGGTCTCTCGCCTCACATCTGACTCACAAATTTGGTGCCTGCACAGACTTGGCCTTGGACTGGCTCACCATTATAACTTTGTAAGTCAACCCCCCCTTTTTTTGACAAAAATGTATCTCTATATATACATATATAAACTTCACTGGCTTTACTTCTCTAGAGAATCCATCCTAAAACAATAGAATAGGAATTACAGGACACTTCTTTGTACTCATACCGAACCTGTATATGAACCAGAGGCCGTCATTCAAACAGAACAATGGAAAACTGCCTGATTTAAAATCGGGGGGCAAAAAAGCCAATTCCAGGAACCCAAGAGGAAAGCGAATTTTGAGAATGATGAGGGCAACAAATGTATAAGTGTGCTTTACACAATTGATGTATGTATTATGATGAATTGTATGAGCCCCAATAAAATGATTTTTTAAAATAATAAAATAAATAATAAATAAATAAAATCAGGAAAAGGGTGCACCAGGGCTGTATCTGCATTAGGGTTGTATCCTTAAGTCATACTTATTCAATCTATGTGCTGAGCAAATAAACTAAGAAGCTGAACTACATGAAGAAGAATGCTGAATCAGGAACAGAGGAAGAAATATTAACAAGCAATCATACGCAGATGACCAATTTTGCTTGCTGAATGTGAGGAAGAGTTAGTTAAATACTTGCTAATGAAAATCTAAGACTACAGTCTTCACTATGGATTACAACTCAATGTAAAGAAAAAAATCCTCACAACTAGACCAATAGACCAAATCAGAATAAATGGAGAAAAGACTGAATATGTAATGTTTTCATTTTATTTTTATCCACAGTCAATGCTCATTGAAGTAGCAATCAAGAAATTAAATGACATTTCATTGGGCAAATCTGCACAAAACCACTTTAAAGTGTAAAAGAACAAAGATATCACCTTGAGAACTAAGGTGCACCTGACCAAGAAAATGGTACTTTTCAATCACTTCATA